AGGAGTGGGGAATCAAACCCGGTTCTCCCAGATTAGAGTCCGCACACTTAACCAACTACACCAAACTGGCTGTGAAGGAAAACTTTCTGTAGAGATGAAGATGCTTAGTACTGGATCTGCACCTTCAAATCTTAAATGAGCAAGAAAGGAGCACACTCCTTTCCATTATTAGGATGCATCAGCCCTGCAAATAGAAGACTGAAGAGGTTGTCAAGCTGGCACCTTTTCCAAGCATTAAATTAAAAGCGTTTAACATGCAATGTTCCTCCAAGACCACTAGAGCAGAGAAAAAGGCAAGCAATGATTATTAAATGCCATAATTATCACCAGACTAGACTATTGAGGCAGCAAGGAGAAAAAGGACAAACAGTATTTAAAAACAGAAATTGGCTTTTCCTTCCCAGGGCTGCTAAACTCCCCCTCCTACTGAAAAGGAAGGATAAGAGTGCCTTCCCCAAAAAATCTAATAAATAATTTTTTAAAAAAATAAACCAGGAATGGGATTATTGGAAATACCAGTTCTCTGAGCAACATGAGACACTTGGTAGAGCTAGTTAAATGCATGAGACTTAACAAGGTGTTGTGAGTTTACTGTCTGGTTAGCAGAATAATTTTGCCTACAGTGACCCCTGTTGGGAGCCAGAGCTTTCACAATAGATGGCAATGGATATTTTCCAAAACATGCAACAATACTCAGTTCTGGTAGGGTAACCATGTTAATCTGTTACAGCAAAAACAAAAAGGAGTCATGGGCACCTTAACGTTTAACAGATTTACTGAAGGATTGTTCACTTTATCAGAATCATAAAGTGAACAGTTAAGAGGCAATGAATTATAAGAGTTTGAGACATTTGTACATTTGTCACTATACTTATCTTAGAGATATAGAATCACAGAATCACAGAGTTGGAAGGGGCCATACAGGCAATGTAGTCCAACCCCCTGCTCGATACAGGGTCAGCCTAGAGCATCCCTGACAAGTGTTTGTCCAGTCGCTGCTTAAAGACTGCCAGTGAGGGGGAGCTCACCACCTCCCTAGGCAGCTGATTCCACTGCTGAACTATGCTTACTGTAAAAAAGTTTCTCCTAATATCCAGCCAGGACCTTCCTGCCCTTAATTTAAACCATTATTGTGAGTCCTCTCTGCTGCCAACAGGAACAGCTCCCTGCCCTCCTCCAAGTGATAGCCCTTCAAATGCTTAAAGAGAGCAATCATGTCCCCCCTCAACCTCCTCTCCTCCAGACTGAACATTCCCAAGTCCCTCAGCCTTTCCTCATAGGGCTTGGTCTCCAGGCCCCCAATCAACCTCTTGCAATTCATGGCCTTTCAAGCATGTTTTCGCTCTCTTCTCTCTCCTTTTTTACATATTAAAAATATACTATTTTTAAAATTAGGACTAAATGTCAGAAATAAGCAAGTTTTTAATGGTGCAATCCTAAGAACACTTTCCTGGGAATAAATCTCATTTAATAGATCTGAGCACTGTCAGTCACCCAGATCTTTTCATCAGGCTGCATGCAAAGCTAAAATGAGGGAAGGCTAAGATTTTGAGCATGATGGAAAAGATCTCCTTCTGAAGACTGTAATGGTCTTCAGATGGAACACCTAAAATGTTATGCAAACTAAAGTCAAGTCATGCTAGGTCTACAGCCAAAAAATCATTCTGATCCCTTTTCAGAGCAAAACAGAATTTATGCCTCCTTTGCAAGGCAGAGAGCCGGGGGGGGGGGGGGGGGTACATTATACATTAACAAAACTCAAGATTATAATTCTAGTACTGCAGAGTTTAGAAAGGTACAGAGTCAACAGAAGACAAACTGACCTATGTTATCCAGCAGTTGTAAGGCATGTGACTCTTATAAAAATACATTTCCATTGTCTGGAGGAACACAACATCTTCAATGCTCCATTTCCTGAATGGCTAAATTTGGTACTTCCTAGAACAAATGATCCAATTTTCATTACAAAACAATATTTATGTGCTTAAAAAAAATTATGTGCTTTATAGACCCTGAAAGAGATGTTTGGCTGTAATAGGCTAACACAGCTACCCCTCTGGAATCTGTATGTCTGTACTGAGTTATATATAGAATCCTGAATAATTGGTAAAAGTCAAGATTATTTATTATTCAAACTAATGGCCAATGAACAAATGGAAATATTTTACCCCATAGCATGTGGCTAATCTTTGGAATCTATTCCCACAGTGAGTGTTCACAAAAGGACACAACAGTCGGTGGGCCCCAGCATCGACTAGACATGCTTAAATCATATTGCAATAGATGGGAGAGGGCACATGAAGACACACAACAACAAGAAGAGATTGGATTTATACCCCGCCCTTCGCTTGGAGTCTCAGAGCAGCTTAAAAACTCCTTTCCCTCCCCCTCCCCACAACAGACACCCTGTGAGGTGGGTGGGGCTGAGAGAATTCTGACAGAAACTGCTCTTTTTCAAGGACAGCTGTGCCAGAGCTTGTGACTGACCCAAGGTCACATCAGCAGGTGCAAGTGGAGGAGTGGGGAATCAAACCCAGTTCTCCCAGATTAGAGTCCCCACACTTAACAACTACACCAAACTGGCTCTCAGCCAAATTACACATTTAAACTAGGTCTGCATATGTTTAACCGCCATTGCGCTCAATACAGAACCCTTGCAAATGAGTTCTGTTAAAGATATTTGGGGTCTCTAAGAAATTCTCAACACCTGCAGTAATCTAGAACCCCCAACTTAATACAAAATTAAACTGAAGACCACATTGAGGAGCATATATTAATATACTTGCTGACTGGCTGTTATTTAATCCATGTTATTTTCTTTCAGTAATTTTAATCTTGTGCTTGCCTCCCCTACAGCACTAAGCAGAACACTCATTTTGAAAGACAGGCAGCCCTCCTAAAATCAATCTACTTCAGGAGCATTCGTGTCTGAAACTGTTATAGCCTCATTTGGCTCACCTGATAGGGTCAGCAACCCTTTAAGGCTACACCAGCATCTGTGACTCAGCCCCCTGCACTTCTATTACAGGAGGAGTCATTTTATAGTCTTGCAGATGATGTGAATGTTTTAATACCTTAATACACAAGTTCACAGCAGCCAACTTGGCATTGCTGCCAAAGCCCCAACTTTCTAATTTCCAGCTCCTGGTTCATTTAAGGCCTCAGTCACATTACTTTCAGTCACTGCAGTAAATAACACAAGCGGCATTTCCATTATACTCAAAATGAAGCAGATAGACATACAAGCTGCTTGAGCTGTCAGAGACAGCACAAGGAACACAAGAAAGTATAGTACAGAACTAGCCCTGCCAAGCCTCTATTCAAGTTGCCTGCCTCCAGCCAGTCACAATCCAGTACTTCAGGGAAAGGAGTCCAGTGCTAAAAGAGAGGACAGCAGGCTAGCCCTCACAGAAGCAAACAGTGGCTTAAGAAAGGGTTACAATTCAATCTTGTTACTGGTGTCACAAGGTCTACCATGATGCCTAAAGAACAGGGGGCAAAAGTAATTCCACTCAGGAAGGTTTATTTGCTGGGCACAGGGCACCTTACTGCAATGCAGCTGCTCCAAGTTTAGAAGAATTACATGGATTCACAGAGGGACTGTTGGCTTGCAGGGACGGGAAAACAGTTTTCCCCCATTGTAGAATCCCATGACTGGACTATTAATTTTTTCTCATGATCATCACGGAAAATGACAGGTTCTCACTTAACAGCCTCTTTATTTAAATGAAGCCAACCCAATTCCTAGGGGGGGGGGGAGAGGGAGAGAGGGAGAGAGAGGGAGAGAGGGAGAGAGAGAGAGAGAGAGAGAGAGAGAGAGCCATTAACCCCTTTCCAGGCTGGAATCCCTTTACTTGAGACTACACCTTCCCTCCCGTCTTAACTCCCCGCAGAATTTTGCTGCAAACACAAAAAGCCGCCTGCGTCCCCTGATCGGCTCAGGTCACCTCCACAGCCACCCAAATCGCCACGCCTCTGTAAGGTGGCTGAGCCGGGAGTCAGCAAATGGCCCAAGGTCACCCCGGGAGCAGTAAGCGGGGATGGGACGGACCCCCAGTCTGGCGGGTCGTACTCCGACAACAAGCGAGCCACTCTCCGGGAAGACTGGCTGGCCTTCATATGGGCATTACTATACTGGCCACCCCGAGACTTTTGCTGTAAAAGGGCTAACAAACAAAGGCTTCCTCTGCAATAGAGCCTATACACCGTGGAGCACTTCTGCGACCGACGGCAGGCGCTGCTGAGCACCGCCCCCAGCCTCCCGGGTCTCCCCTCCCCTCCGACTAAAGCACTTTGGGTGAGTGGCAGTGGCAGACCGCCCCGAGGGAGAGACCGAGGAAACGGCCGGATTCCAGGGAGGCCAACCGAGCAGGATGAGGTGTAAACACCCCCCCGCGCCTAGTCTAGCACAGCCCGCTCTGTGACATCTTTGACAAACGACGCAGCACTTCCCAGAATGCATCACCCTAACACCTCCTCGGTAGCAAGCGACTGTTTCCATGGCAATTATTTAAAATAAATTGCGCCCGAAGCGGAAACTTCCTCTCGCCCATCGGAGACGCGTTCTTTTTCCTGTTTCCGGTACAGGCCTCCATCCGGCCTGACGTAAGCGACAGCAAGTTTGAGATGCTCTGGCACAGTCTAAGGTCGTTCTCTATGGCATCTCCTCAACGGCTTTCGTTTTGTTCATCTCTAAGAGCTAAATAAGCAGGAGTTTTCTGGCCCCTTAAAGCATAACCTTTCACCCACTTCGTATGTTGCCCGTAGCGGTCCACGCTAGGCACACGTACGTACACTAAAAGAAGATATTAATAAATTATAAACACCACAGTCGAAAGGCCACAAAAGATGAAATTTTGTAAAATAGTAATCATAGAGACAAGAAAAATAACAACCCCTTCCGGCCTTTGGTTTAGAGATTCCTGAGATTTCGCCACTTCCGCCACGGACCGGGAAGTCGCCTTAGTCTTGTGAGGACACTGTCAGTTCTCTGTAGCTCTTCCGTTCGCCTTGTGTGACACTCTACGGCAGCAGCTGGCATCTTGACGACGCAAAGGGGAGAGTTGTGAATAAGTTCTATGTCGCTCTAGCCGTAACTTCCGCATGTCTATCGTTTCTAGAGCTATACTCTAGGCGATTTTCTGAGTTCCTTCTCTATGGCTCCACGCTCCCGAGCCAGGAGGGTGCCGAAGATCCCGTTCCCTTAACCGAGAGGCCGTGGCGGCGGCGGGGGGAGGGGCGACCGAGCCGATGGAGGCGGAGACGCTGGAGTCGAGGATCAGTGAGTGGTGTGGGGGTGGGGAGGGCGCCGCCTCCGGGGGTTCACGCTCAAAGGTTCAGTGACTGGCTCGGAGGGAGGGGCTGTCTTCTCTCCCCCCCCCCCCCCCCGGGTATCTTAACAGTCCCCATTTCAGATCCGGTGTTTACCGAGCAATCATTGGGGAAGTGTTTTGCTAGTTTTCCAGGCGGAGAAAAAGTGCCGTCGAGAATCTTCTGGGAGAGGGAGCAGGAGAGTAGAGAGGCTGGCATCTTGTGTGCACACACAAACAGGTTGTGTTCCCTTTCTCCATCTCAGTCTGTTTCCTTGTCCATTAGTCTGGAACATTCAGGGAGCAATTCAGAGCAGGTCTGCTCAGAAATGAGTCCCATGTTATGCAGTGGGGCTTACTGAAAGGAGCGTGTCCTTAGGGAGCTCTGGGGTCATCTAGTTCAACCCCCTGCACCATGCAGGAAATTCACAAATACCTCCCCCCCACACACACACACCCGGTGACCTCTGTTTCGTGCCCAGAAGATGATAAAAAAAACTTCCAGGATTCCTGGCCAAACTGGCCTGGAGAAAAATTGCTTCCTGACCCCAAAGTAACGATCAGCATTTCCCTGGGCGTGCACCACTTCCTGCCCTTCCTCACATGATCTGCCTGTGTTCACAGAATCAGCACTGCTGTCAGATGGCCATCTAGACTCTGTTGAAAAAACTTCAAAGAAGGAGAGCCCATCACCTCCCTAGGAAGCCTAGTCCACTGAGGAACCACTCTGTCAGGAAGTTCTTCCTAATGTTTAGCCAAAAATTGGTGCCTTAATTACCCCTGTCAAACTCATAATACTTTCAGACTAAGGGTGCGGTCAGACGGCGTGCTGGGAGCGGTTTAAATTGCTCCGGCCCCAATGCGTGTTTTTTTAACCTGGAGAATCACAATCACACTCACCTCCTTGCTCCAGATCGCTGCGCAGCCACATCGGTCCCCGCCGTCCACAGGCGGGAGCGTGCATCGGTGTTGGTTTTTTCCTCTCAGTTTGGCCATGCATGCAGGCAGCCATCTGTAGAACTAAACTTTTCGTACGTGCGCAGAACAGCGATTTCCACTACAACCCGACTGCTGTAACACTTCCCTTTAAACGTTTACCCTGAAAATGGCCTCCGTGAGATCCCGAACTCATCTAAATGCTAAAACTAGGCACCATTTAAACATTGTTTTTAATAAGGCGGTGGCGGAGCTCCGCCTATGTGCACACCGCCAACGCTTACAAAAAATGGTGGGTGAAAAGCGGAAGCCTTGGGCAGTTTTTGAGCGGGGAGTGGGTTTAAACCGGAAGTGGCTCAACACCGGAGGAGCGATCACACAGGGGGGAAATGTGGCTGGAAACGGAGAATCGAGAAAACACCACTTGGGGACCTGGTAACAAAATACTCCGGTTTAAAGAGGATTTGAGCTGGAAAGCAACGGCTGGGGACGGGAGGCAGATGTTGACTGTGTGATCACGCGTATAAAATCTGTTTGTGAACTGGCATGACACCAGATCAAATGGCGCGTCTGAACGCATCCTAAGACTCCCGAAGGTTGGAAGAGTAGGCCCATCCTTTGCATGTCTGCTTGCAAGAACAGCTCATTTGAATAGCATGAGGCTTAGTCCTGTCAGTTTTCTTATTAGCAAATGAAACAGTCATCATAAGGTTGGAGAAGATCTACCCACCTTCCAAGCATATTTTATCCACTCTGGTTTTAAGTACCAAGGGATGGTTAAAGTTGTGTTACGGTATATGGAGTTTGAGCTAAGTGCCTTTAAATACGTGTTTGAGTGCCACCATCTTAAGCGCACGTTCTTTTTGGGAACTTGTGTTTGAAGATCTCTCTGTCTCTATGGCTATGGCTATTTAATGAAGCAGGCACTCTTCCATAGAAACTCCAAGGGTATGTTGAAATTTAGGTGCCAGAAGGCGCTTTGAAGTATGTGTTGAGGAAGAATCAACATGGGTTCTGTAAGGGAAGATCTTGTCTCACTAACCTTTTAGAGTTCTTTGAGGGGGTGAACAAACTGGACAAGGGTGACCAAGCAGAAGTTGTTTACCTAGACCCCCAGATAGCTTTTGATAAAGTTCCTCATCAAAGGCTCCTAAGTAAACTCAGCAGTCATGGGATAAGAGGATAAGGTAAGTCCTCTTGTAGATTAAAAATTGGTTAGTTTATAGGAAACAGAGAATGAGTCTAAATGGGCAGTTTTCACAGTGGAAGGTGGTAAACAGTGGGGTACCACAGGGCTCAGTACTAGGTCTGGTGCTTTTTAACTTGTCCAGTAATGATTTGGAGTTGGGAGTAAGCAGTGAAGTAGCTAAGTTTGCGGATGCCACTAAATTGTTCAGGGCTGTGAGAACCAGAGAGGACTGTGAGGCACTCCTGAAGGATCTGTCAAAGTTGGACGAGTGGGCATCAGTGTGGCAAATGAGATTAAATGTGGACAAGTGCAATTCAGTGTGGGCAGGTGTGAAGTAATGCACATTGGAGGCAAAAATTCTAACTATAAATATATATTTATGGGGTCTGAACTGGTGGTAACTGACCAGGAGAGAGATCTTGGAGTCCTGGTAGACTGAAAATGTTGACTCAGCGTGTGCGACTGCAATAAAAAAGACAAGTGCTATGCTGGGGATTATTAGGAAGGGAACTGAAAACAAATCAGCCAGTATCGTAATGCCCCTGTTTAAATCTATGGTGTGGCCTCATTTGGAATATTGTGTACAGTTCTGGTTGCTGCACCTCAAAAAAGATAGCCTTGGAAAAGGGCAACTAAAATGATTAAGGGGATGGAACGCCTTCCCTATGAGGAAAGGTTAAAGAGGTTAGGGCTCTTTAGCTTGGAGAAACAATGATTGGGGGGATGACATGACAAAGGTTTACAAAATTATGCATGGGACGGAGAAGCTAGAGAAAGAAATACTTTCCCCCCCTTTCTCACAATACAAGAACTCGTGGGCACGCAATGAAATTAATGAGCAGTAAGCTTAGAACAGATAAAATGAAGTACTTTTTCACCTAAAGAGTAATTAACACATGGAATTCACTGCAGCAAGAAGTGGTGGCAGCTATGAGCATAGACATGTGGAGCAGAGATCCATCAGTGACTGTTAGCCACAAGGTATAGATGGAACACTATGTCTGGGGCAGTGATGCTCTGTATTCTTGGTACTTGTGGGGGGGCAACAGTGGGAGGGCTTCTGGAGTTTTGGCCACTGTGTGACACAGAGTGTTTGACTAGATGAGTCATTAGCCTGATCCAGCATGGCTTCTCTTATCTATATTCTTGCTGCCCAGTTGGTGGTGCTTCTTTAGATTGAGATTTATTTTCCACATTTGAGTCAGATTTTAGGATTGGGCCAGATTCTACTTTTGCTGTAAAGGAAAAGACCTTGGGCTGGAATATCATGTTTCAGGTAGAGGTATGTTTTAGACTAAATATTTCTTCATGACCTGCTACTCTTTTTAAAATAATTAAAATTAAGTAATGCAAGCTGGTGAAAATGTAGGTTTGACTGTTTCCAAATGGCTGAGGTACCAGACACTACTATTTTCTGCCATTCCCTGTACCAGTCCGCAGGTACCACTCATACCCATATGTTGCTGTCTTCTGCTAAATCAGATCACTGAGCCCTCTATTGCAGTTCTGCTGACTGTGACGGATGGTGGCTCTCCACGGCCATGGGATGTGGTTTGTCCTAGTCTTGTTTTCTGCGGTCCTTTGCACTGGAGCTGCTGGCATCTGAACCTGAGATCTTCTGCATAACAAACGTTCCCTTTACCAATAACCTTTTGCCCCCCTCCCAAGCGGCTCCAAATATTGTGCTGGAGCCAATAAGCTTTTCTTGATGGTAGAAAGGGAAGGTGCACCAAAAAGGCCATGCTGGGGGTTATAGGACCTGCAGGAACAAAAGCCGTGTTGGACAGGGGCTGTGGTAAAGACAGGAAGTGGGTGAGATGGAATGAAAAAGCTGGCAGGATCCATCCAGCTGCCTTTTGTCTTCCCCTCATGATGACTTTCTTTTTTCTTCTGATCCAGACAAGGCGACAAATCCTCTGAACAAGGACCTAGAATGGGACAGCATCAATGCTTTCTGTGATCAGCTCAATAAGGAACTAGAAGGGTTAGTATGCCTATCCCCTTTTCCCACCAAACATCATTTGTTTGTGAGCGTTAGACGCAGATAGTGGCGTGTTACCTCGGTCAGCAAAAATAAGATCGCTAGTTTGTGGGAGGTATTGGCAAACATACCAAAAAATTTTTTTTAAACCACCGGGAACCTATCATATTTTTGTATGGGGTAGCTAGGAGTTGTAGAATGTAGGAAATAAACAGTAAAAGAAATAAATTAGGTGTTTAGTGAACTAAGGCATCGTTGAAGGTATGGTGTGCACAAAACCATATTTTTAAAATTGTCCTGTAATGCAGCATGAAAGGTGGGGAAATGCTTATCTTGAGTGGGTGAGTGTTACATAAAAGCTGTGTGCTTTAGCCAGTTGAAAAGGATAAACTCCCGTGGGGGTAGCTTATTGTAAACAAAGGATGTGTACGGAAACAAGAAGTTGATGCTCTTATCTTTATCAGTATTTAGTCAGATTCCCTAATGTGGCATTTCTGGGTTAGTGAGATCTAACTACAGATTATTTGTAGGATACAAAGTTGGGCTAGTGTCACAGTCAGATTCCGACCATGAGAGCCAAGGGGACCTAACAGACTGGAATCTTGGCCAGTGCCTCACTGGGGCCGCCTTGTTCAAGTCACTGTTCTTCAGCTTCAATTTTCCACCTGAAAAGGGAGCATGACCTGACTCATCCATCTGCTGCAAAGATGAATGAGACAAATATCTTAAAGCAGGAGCTCTGCGAATCTTTAGGGGGCAGAGAGATTTTGTAAGAATCAGCTTGGAAGGGGAAATGTGAAGACCTGAATGGGTCAGTGAGAGGAGGGATCCATGTATTGTTGGTGCATTCATGCCCGCCGCCCCCCCCCCCCCCCCCCAATATCAGGCAGTGCTTAACGGAGAGGTGACAGAATTTATTATAGCCTCAGATTTGGGAGGTCTTCCTCCAGTGACTTAGTGCGGGTTGAAAAACATCCTGCATGAGTTTGCAGTGACTCTTCTGATTACTGCCAATAACACGTAGCTCCCAGAGCAGAGCCTACTCATTGAGAGAAACGACTTCACCAGCCTCCGCCACAGCCCAGAAGTGCTGCAAGCCAAACTGAAGAAAAAGTGCCCCGGGGCTGAGGATGCTAATTGAACTGGAAACAGAACAAAGTAGGGAGCATGTTGGGCAGGTCGGGGGCAATTGCTAAAATGTTTTCCCCATTTTCAAGTTTTAAACCTTCAAGCACAAAAACTTAAGATTTGTGTTTAACCCAAGTATAATGGAAGGCTCCATAACAGTAGCTTTTCAGAGCAAGAGCCTGTGTGGGTGGAGTATCAGACTAGGCCCCAGGAGAGTTAGGTTAAAATCTTCTCTTGGCCATGTAGGCTATTCATTGTCTCTCAGACTAATTTACCTTGTGGGGCTTTTCTACTGATAGAACGGAGGACAGGAGAAGATCTAGGTACACCGTCCTGAGATCCTTTGAGGAAGGGGTGGGGTTAAAATGTAATAGAAATTTGATAGGAAGCCCGATCTGTGTCACAGCTTCAATAACCGTTCCTCTGTCTTGGTATTCAGCCCACCCCTTGCTACCCGGCTTCTAGCCCACAAGATCCAGTCTCCACAAGAATGGGAAGCCATTCAGGCACTCACGGTAAGAGTTCATGAGCTTCTTACTGCTGGGCTTGGTGAAAGGCTGTGGGAAAGTTTATAAAGCGTTCGTGCATGAATACCATAACAGTGCCATCCAAAGGAGGTCTACTCAGAATCCTATACAAGTCTATTCAGTGGGGCTTACTCCCTGGAAAGCATTCTTAGGATTTGCACTGTAGGTCTGTTTGAGAGGTAGACCCATTTTTCACTTTGGGCACCACCTTTGGCTGGATTAGAATGCTGACCGAGTTGCCTACCCCTGCACCCCTTGGAGAACATTCTCTTTTAGGGCTGGGAGCAGTCTGTTCAAGTGGGTTGATTCCCCTTCCTGTAGCAGGGTAGTTATCTTATCCGGCTGCCCTGAATGTTCATAGGTTGCTCTGTATTTCAAAGGGGATCCCTGCACACACCAACTCCATTGGCTTCTGTATCTCTTGACATTTTGCCGTGGCAGCTTTTCAGGGATGATGTGGGGGTGTAACTCAGAGCAGGGGTGGGCACCTTGTTCAGTGCCCATGACAACTGTCAAAACGTACTGCTAACTTACATTGTAATGTGCACATGAATAATATAGAATTAGAGGTGATAATCGTGTAATCTGTCCCCTGTTCCAAAGCAGGGTTTCCCATGCAAGATCCAAAAGAATAAAGTAATCCACATAGCTAAAACAATTGAACCATGCCAGGAGAATCAGTGTCATGCAGTGGTTAGAGCTCAGTGGATGACCTTGGGCAAGTCACTCTCTTAGCCTAACCTACCCCACACAGTTGTTGTGTAAAGGGCAGGATAAAAAGAGATAACAGATACGTTAAAGTTATGGCATTTTTCCCCTCCGGCATTCAGCTAACTATATCTAGCTTATCCCTTCTGCCAGTAAAGTAATCTCTGTTCCAAATCAAGGAGGGAGGGCCCTTTGTTGAAGCCTGCAACTGAGGAAATATCTTTAAAAGTTCTTTATGAAACAATCCAACAGGATTTTGCAACCAGTGAAATTCCTTGCATAGGATAATTCTAAGGAGAATGTTCCAGAATTTCTATCACAGATCTTATAAACTTTCTCCCAAACCAGTGTTTAATAACTTGTTGACAGTGGTTCTTAGCATTTTCAAACAATGGGACACAGAACAATAAAGCAATATATGCAACAATCCAGTAATATTATTTATTAGCTAGTTAGATTTTTATCCCACCCTTCCCAAAACGGGCTCAGGGCGGATAACAGTAAAGGGCATAAACAAAGCCAAGTAATATAAATAATTCTTAAAACAGATAAAACCCTTAAACAATTAAAAGATGGCAAATGAAATATAACAGTTCAGACTACCTATAAGCTAGACTGATGGTAACTGGAGTCTCACCAAGCTCAGATAGTACCAAAACTCCACATAGGGCAAATCATTAGGGCAACTTCTGTGCAGGAAGGCCAACTAGTTTGGTGTCCACCTTCTCAACTGAAGGCCTGGCGGAACAGCTCTGTTTTACAGGCCCTGTGGAACTGTAATAAGTCCTGCAAGGCCCTGATCTCCAGGGGGAGCACTTTCTTTGGACATAAACCAAAGTATTGAGAAATGCTGGTTTAAACAACTCATTGGAACTAGTTGTCTGTTGACTATATATACATACTAACGCCACATTTAATAAAAATAATAATAATAATATAATAATAATAATCAACCATCCCATAACTCCCTTAAGGTTCACATTGCAACTTAAACCACCAATGTCACCCAAATTCCAATTTCATACAGCATTTAAAGCAATAATAGCTCTCGAATAAAAACTATTTTTTAATCTGTTTGACCTTTTTTTAAACGTGTGTAATTCGTACTGGTATTTGAGACTTTGGATCGGGTGTCTAATAAGAACAGTCTAAGGCATTATTCTGTGCCTAATGAATTCTCCTCAGCTGTGTACTCCTCAAAGGAGAGATGAGGGATCTTTGAGTCCCTGGGAGGAGCAAGCGCTGCTTTTGTGGCATGCTGGGAACTCGTGCCACTTCTAATAAGGGCTTTCTGGAGAGGACTGTCAGCATACATAGGTCATTTTCCTTATCTATATTTTAGTGTAAAGAGGTGCATTCCAACCTCAGGGGTGTGCCCCAAGGCACCTGTGAAGCAGAGGGTAATCCAGCATTTGGGTTCAGATGGGATTGCCTTTGGTTATTTCCAGCCTTATAAGAAGGGGGAGATAACTCATGCATGAGACCAGACAGGGGCCTAAAATACAGCTGCGTGGGACCCTATTAATAGCAGCCGTGTGGGTAGATTTGCTGGCTTGATACAAAAACAGAAGCACAAATGGCTTTGCATTAGAATAAGTAATGTGGGTGGGGCTTGGTGCTGTGAGATTGGCAATCTGGAGGACAAAGAGTATTAGTAAAGTAAAGGTAAAGGTTCCCTTGCTCGAAAGCCAGTCAAATCCGACTCTAGGGTTGCGGTGCTCATCTCCGTTTCAAAGCTGAAGAGCCAGCACTGTCCGAAGACGTTTCCGTGGTCATGTGGCCGGTATGACTCAACACCAAGGCGCACGGAACGCTGTTACCTTCCCACCAAAGTGGTACCTATTTGTCTATTTGCAATTTCTTGCTTTCGAACTGCTAGGTTGGCAGGATAAAGAGTATTAATGAGTATTAATTCGATTTCTGAATCACCCAATCCCTGCTCATGCAGGGCTCTGGGCGATGTACAACAACATATATAACATAAAAACAGTAGAATTAAGATAGACACATTACGAATGCACTTCAAAGAATCCAAGATGGCGTGACTATGTAATTTCTTCCCATTCTGGACTGGGGAAGAGGAGGAACACAAGAACAAGTCTGGAGGGAAAAGGAGAGGGTGCCAGCCTTGATGGAAACCATCGCTGCCCTCAACCAAAATCTCTGCCTCACAGGCTCTGCGGAATTGCATTAGAGCCCACAGGGTCCTGGTGGTATTTGGCAGAGAGTTCCACTAGGTTGGGGCCAGGACCTGGAAGGCCCTGGCCATGGTTGAGGACAGCCAGACATCTTCGGGGCCGGGGATCACCAGCAGATTGTTATCGGCAGAGCGTAACACTCTCCCAGGAACATACCAGAGGAGGCAGTCCTGTAGATGTGTGGGTCCCAGACCGCTCAAGGCCTTAAAGGTCAACACCAAAACCTTGAACCTGACTCGGTACTCCCCTGGGAGCCAGTGTAGCTGGCACAGCACAGGTTGTATGTGTGCCGTCCATGATGTTCCTGCCAGGACTTGCGCTGCCGCATTCTGGATCAGTTGGAGCTTCCGGGTCAGTCTCAAGGGCAGGCCAGCATAGAGCAAGTTATAGTAGTCATAGGCATTCCAGACCGCTGCCTGACAACCCTAGAAGCTGTGGGGGTGGGGCAGACATGACCTTGCACTACGTGTCAAAGTCATGTATGGACAAAACTCTGGATGTGACATCATTCGGTGCTGTAGAAATTCCATGGTATTATCAACAGTATCTGCTTTTTCCTGTAATTGTCTGTGTTCTCTTGGATGTGGGATTGTGGCTCAGTAGCATCTGCGGGTCATGCAAAAGGTCCTAGGTTCAGCCCCTGGCATCTCCAGCTAAAAAAGTGTTAGGCGGTAGGTGATGTGAAAGACCACTACTAAAGACCCTGGAGAGCTGCCGCCAGTCTGAGTAGACCGTATTGACCTAGATGAACTCATGGTCTGATTCAGTATAAGGCAGCGTCATGCATCATGTATCTCTTGCTGCGAGGCAGTCTTTGTACTGTTCCCTTGAGCAGGGAAGGAATCTATTTAATGCAATCTGAAGGGAATGCTTCATCTGGATGCTCTGTGTGTGGTCTCCTGAATAGTCCCCTCTCCCTTTATTGAACTGCATCCGGGAGCAGGGACTGGGAGAAGATGGACTCCCAGTGCCTGAATCTCTCAGCCTTTGCTCTCTTGCAGGTGCTGGAATCCTGTATGAAAAACTGTGGCAAGCGCTTCCACAACGAGGTGGGCAAGTTCCGCTTCCTTAACGAGCTCATCAAGGTGGTGTCACCAAAGGTTGGTCTCATTGCTGGGATGGCATGGCGGAGGGGGAGAGGGCAGGACTGGAGCAGCTTGCATTGAAAGAGTGAAGAAGGGATGATTTTATACTCCTTGGGCCTTAACAGCCTAAACAGTAAAAAGTACCTTAGGAAAGAAGCTTAGTTTCATAGCTCATTCCTGAGCAACCCAAAGCTTCATGAGTGCTCTGAGATGTGTCTAAGGGGCTACTTGCAAGCACAGACTTGCATTCACTCCAGTGTTGGAGAATCTCAGTGTGCACACTTGGAATGCACGGGGCAGAGCTGCTGCAGCATTTTAACAAATGGCAAGTAAGTCCATGTATCAGTGGGAGTTCACTTTATATACACTGGGAGGTCTGGGCTCTTTCATACCTTACACATGGTTCCCTCTGTGAAAGGAATGGGATTTATGTATGCCCCCAGAGAAAAGGAGGAGTCAGCAGGAGCCAGAGAAACTCCCAGCTTTCATTAAGATCACGTAATCTGGAAACAGCTTGTAATGATTCCTTGTTTTTGGTGTGTGTGTGTCTCTTTAAAAGTTTGGTTGCATGGCTGTGGTAGGTAGACTAGAGTGGTTGAGAGATGCAAGTGTGGTATGATTGGTGGTTGACAGAGAGGGGGAGGGGTTTTGGAAGTGAAAATGAGTGGATGAGTATGTATGTCAGTCAGGAGTGACAGTTACAGGTGGACAGTTGATAAGTTCAGTTAGTTCTGTGTGTGAGAGAAGTTAGAAGCAGTCCTGTGTGGAATAAGTTAGATCTGTGTTGAAGCAGTTAAGAACAGCTGAGGTTGTTCTGAGAGAAAGGATAAGAGATCTGAGGGCTGAGTCTATGAAAACGTAAAGTTTAGGTGAAGAAATGTTATAGTAAAGTCCGGGTGTTATAACAGACTGGAAAGAGACAGTGAACCTATATGGCATGGAGATAAACAAGTGATACAAAGTTACATGAAAAGATCCCTGTCAGTAAGGGAGCAGATTGTGTGTGATACACCAAGCAATTGTTCATTATTTACACATTACTAGTTACATTGTTCTACCCTTTTATTTATGAATTATTTCAATAAATCCTCTTTTATCAAGAATACCAGCTCTAAAGAAATACTTCCTCAGGACCATATAGTTCCTCGTAAGCCTTGAACTCGGTCTACCAAAATAGTAAGATCATCAGTAAAGTATAAAGGTTTGGAAATCCTTAAAATTTCCTGGTGGCAACCGTCTATACCCAGATAAACAGAATAAAAAGAACACTTTTAAAGTAAAACCAGTCCTCCCTAATAAGGAGGACGTCACACAGCTTCTTTTGCATGCTAAGGAACAGCTGCTGCTATCTGTTTAAGCAATTCTGCAGTTTTAAATAAAGCTAGTGGGTGTTAGTAAGGGTAAGGACTCCTCTCTTGGAGCAGAGCATTGTCCAAAGTAAGTCAGTCCTGCACCCCTTCAGCTTCTTCTGCTTGTAGTAGCTGCAGGTAGAATAGAATCTGCTCCCTTTGGTGGTACTCTGAAATGAACAGAGGATGATTTAGATATATATGCATTAGTTGAGTAATAACTGAACTCACCTTTTGGCTCTGGAGCCTTAATGTGAATCATGGACAGGATCTGTACTGTGTGGGATTTGTCCTGTTCTGGCTAGTGATTATTTTCTTCTCCCTGTGTGTTTTTAGCATCTTAGCCATCTAGAGTTACCTTAAAGGATACTCTTGGGGCTGCTGTTGGAACAGAGTGCTGAGCTAGATGGACTGCTAGTCTGATTCAGCAAGGCTGAATTTTCTTGATTGTGGGGAAATTATTGCTTTTCTAGGTTTTCTAACTTTACCTATTAACATGCCTGGGAAGAGTTAGTATTCTGCCCATTCTCCTTTCAGGTTCTTATTCATGTCAGTGTGTGTAAATAACAATTCTTGCCAGTAGTAAAAGCGACTGGTAATGGGGGTGCTAATAGGATTTCAAGGTGGCTTTGCCTCTTGCTGGCTGAGGGTGCCTGATTAACATGTTAGCTGTTGTTCTCAGCTCACCTCACTCCACCCAACCTCATGCTTGATTACAGAATTCACCAAGATCACTGTTCAAGCCCCCCCCCCCCCCCCCCCCCTGAATATAATCCCTTTGTATTTGACATGAGCGTATGATTGTCTCCCTTCAGTATCTAGGAAGCAGGACTTCAGAGAAAGTGAAATCTAAGATCCTGGAGCTTATGTATAGCTGGATGTTGGGGCTGCCGCATGAAGTGAAGATTACAGAGGCCTACAAGATGCTGAAGAAACAAGGTGAGACATCTTGCTCCACGGCTTTGTCGTTCTGCTGTCTGTATGGACGCAAAACAGTGCCACTTCCAAAGCTGAGCTAACATCCTGATTTTTAAAAATCACACATTATGCAACTATTGAATCTGAAGGCACGATGGCATGGCCTCATCACTCTCCAAAACGATACCAAAGAGGAATTCGGTATGGTGGAGGCAGTGCTGAGCTTTGCTCTGGACCTTGGGTGTTGTAATGCTGCCTGGAATGATTACTGAGGAGCAACAGCTGCACGGTACATCTGGGCAGGAGGGGAAATGGTTTGTGTGCTGGTGATGGGACTGTGAATGACCTGGTGCAACGTGTCTAAATTTCAGTTACTGTATTTATTTATCTCCCATCTCCCCCCCTCCCCCCTTCAAGTTTTGAAAGGCTTATTGGAGAAGTTCACTGGCCTCATCTGACAGTGCACCCCCTGTCCAGCCATCAGCCTCTAATTGCTGTCATTGAGGGCAGATTGGGTGGGTGTTTTTTGTTCATATGCTTGTTGGAGCAGCCACTCTTGTTCATGAGTATTTTGCTTGCTGTATTTCCTCTTGTGTGGATATTCATGGATGCTGTGAGCCTAGCCCCTCCCCCCCCACTCTGTAGTCCGTTGTACCTATCAGGTACTCCGACTGGTGGAAGGGAGGGTAGCAGAACATTCCAGGACGCTCCTTTGGTCAGTATTCGGGCTGTAAAGGAGTTGTGTTCTTAGATGGGGAAAAAGGAAGCAAGAGATTCTCAACTCTAATGTTGACGAAAATGGCCAGGACAGGTCATGGGGGAAGAGGCACTATTAAACTTTCATTTCCTGACTCTTCAGGTGGCATCTCTTTAACTCATACCAATGGAAAATGGACATGGTCTGTTAGTTGGTAAAATCTTTCTTGCCTTGCAGGGATTGTGAAGTGTGATCCCAAATTGCCAGACGATGCACCCTTTCCACTGCCTGCCCCTAGGCCAAAGAATGTTATCTTTGATGATGAAGAGAAGTCCAAGGTAAGAACTAACCAGGTACCAAAATGTCTAGAAGCCTTTTTTTTAAGCTTCTGCTTGTGTGTGTGGTTATCCCGTACCGGAGCCTTCAGCCCTGATGCTGAAACCTCAAGACAGCTCATCACCTGACAAGAAAGGTGGCAAGGGGATGGAGAAGTCCAAATCTGACACTTTAAGCGTCACTTCAGAGTGAAAATAAACACACACACATATTCTGCCACCAGTTTCTTCACTGAGTGTGTGCTTAATCATCTGTTTTGTAAGTGGCCTCTCAGTTCAAACCTGTAGTGTCACTAGTTCTTAGGTCATTAAGGGAGGGCTTGACAAATCTCAGTCGCCAGGTTGCCATGGCACCTAGAAATTTCATTGTGGCACCTAGTATTTTCAGCCGTTGTTTCATTGTAGTGTTTCTCGGTGATCCTCAGAAGTACAAAGCTAATTATTTCACAACAGAATATGTTTTGCTGTATGACATAAAAATGCTTCTCCATAAAGTTCTCATCACTGCTGATTCATATGTTAATTTCACACTCTTCCATGGTGGTAGACAACAGTTTTCTATACTGGCTCCAGTATTCCAATCCAATATGGACATTTTTAAAGCAGTAATGAAATTATGAGAAGTTGGGGAGATGTAAGTTTAGGGTTAGAAGCCACCTTTTTGTTGTAGCGATGACATCTACAGTTACTATTGCATTTATTTCTATAGTATAACACTTTTGTCATAGTTTTAGTAAAATCACAAGAAACTGTAAAGAAGCTAGGATTACGGTACATGGTACCAATAATGAGAAAAATGTAGTAATTAAAATACAAAACCCTGAATTCTGTATGATGAGTCTGGCTCCTTAATGTTTTGGGCTTGCTCCTCAAGCGAGGGAAAACTTGTCAAGGCCTGAGTTACAGTTCCCAGACTCCTTTCTGGATCTGCCTTAGTTTGTGTGCCACATTTAAACTATTGGTTGTGGATCTAGCACTAGTATCTACCTTTTGCTTGTAGTTTTTCCATAGCATTTGAATGCGAGTTCCACCACCTAATGTATTTTGCACCTGTGCCATCTGGAATACCAGACCATCTCTATGTTCAGTTTCATAGCAGCAGTTACCTCTTAAAACTAGGGCGGGGGGGGACACCTTAGAGGTCTGTCTTGTTGTCCAAGTGGCTTGGAAAATTCTGTTTTCTGGAATGCAAGCTTGCTCCAATGTCAGCAAAATATTTCTCTGCGTGACACTTCTCCCCAGAGGACCACTACAAAATGCATTAGGCATTTCTCAGACAAAGGGCTACCCCACATGCTACAAACCTTCAAAATGGAAAGCTCTTCTGTGTAGAAATTAACATGACTCCTACATGTATATAATCACGTCTGAGTCATCTTGCATTCAGATACTTATCCGTCGTTGAAAGCTATAGATGGCTGCAACAGTCCATGCATAGGTTTGACGTGGTAACGTCTATACAGAAGCGTGAAAAGAGTGGCTTGAAGTGTTTGTGGTTTCAGGTATGTAGGGGAAAAACAGACCTTTCTCAACATTTCCCTTGTGGTTGGAACCTTGGGTGATTCAGATGTGAGTTTGTGGCAGACTAGAATTTTATAATTGACTTTTCTGCCTAAAGCTCTTAATTATAACAGCAATGGATAGTTTGAGCATAGCTCATTCCTCTTGCAGGCTTGTCCGTTTCTGCTGGTTGGTTGAGCTTGGCTTCCTTAATACTTCTGATGATCTCATCCAATTAGACATCCCGTTTCCCAGAATTGTTTCCAAGGGAGGGAACTAGGATTTTCCAGAGTGCATGTTATTGTCTCACACCCTTTCTCCCACCCGATGCTGAGGCACCAGGCCTGACTCTGGGATTGGAGGAGGCTGGCAGTGCCCACAACGTGCTGCTTCTATTGCTCTTTTTGAACCAGTCTGCTTTTCTTCTGTAGTTTGGTTTTCCACTTGACAGTTTTGTCTGAAGTGGAATTGAGTGTGTGCTTCTTTTTCCATCGTTGTTATTGCCTCTGTATATCTGATTGTCAGTATTATGATGCCATCAAGGGAGACCAAGCCCGAGGCACCTGCAGGTGCTCAGCTCTTCCACACACTCATTATGATGAACACCTTAAATTCTTTGAGAGTTCACCTGGGTGTGAATTAAGATTAAGAATTTACTGGGCCAAAAAAACTAATTTAAATCTGTCATGTACAATTAACGTGGTAGTAAATAGCGTGCCAGTGGTGGTGGTTTGTAATGTAGATTTAGTAGATTTTACATTGCTGATGTTGAACTGGCTAAATGCTCCTTTGTATTCCCTGCTGAAACCTGAATCTCTTTGTCGGAGTTCCTGCAACTGATAAGATATTGAAATGGCAGAGTCACCCTGCCGCACGCCTCGTTGAGCACCACGCTGGCCACGTACAGTAGTCCACCAAGATTCAGATGTTCTCCTGCAAACACAGGATGGCCACTGGAACTCCTGGCAGACCACAGTTTGTGACTGATGGGCTGTGCCAAGTTTGTGGTGGGTTACGAGGTGTGCAGGACAGTGCTGCAGGTAGAACAGATGACATGAAATGTGTATCCCCATCCTATCTCCACTGACACCTCCCAGCTCGTGCTTTGATCTTTGTCAAGGCACCATTGAGGTTTGGATGTCTGAGGAGTGGTTAAAAAGAAACGTGCCATCGAGGGTTGGGCCTGTCCATTGTGCAGTTCTCAGACTTGTTCCATTCTAACAAGCTCTTCCGTTTCCCAGTAATCCCCCTAAATCAGTCCCGGCCATATCAGGCCTGTCTCCCTCTGACCTGCGTGTCTTTGCAGATGCTGGCTCGCCTGCTGAAAAGCTCCCACCCTGAGGACCTCCGAGCTGCCAACAAGTTAATCAAAGAGATGGTCCAAGAGGTAAGTGTGTTCACATGAGAAGTGTTTCCACCCCCATCTCTCAACTGGGATTGTTTCTTTTATATGCCAGTCTTCCTCCAAGGAGTTCAGATCAGAGTAATACCATCGCAACAACCCTGTGAAGTAGCTGAGGTTGAGCAAGAGTGAGTTGCATAGCTGAGCAGAGATTTGAACTTTGGTTTCCCCAGTGCAGCCCTAACTATCTGGCTACGGCACCTACACAAGCTTGTGCACTGTGAACAGCTAGAAGGAATGAAGTTAGAGACCCACGTGCTTGTATTTTTCACCCGTTACATTGAGCAGGGTATTTTTCTCATTGTGGGGGGGGGGGGGGGGGGGACTAGCTGTTCCTGAAATTCAGAAGTAGCCTGGTATTGTACTGAGGGTAAAGAGAGCTAATTGGATGGCCAAGAGTTCTCTAGGTGTACAGCCTAGCTAAATCCTAATGTTAAACTAAGATGGCAGCAGCATTCTCCCGCTGTGCAGTGGTCTTGATGATAGCTTAAGGTCTCCATCGAAACTGGAAATCCTTCCAAATGCCAGTCAAGAAAGCCAGGCCTTGCATTTGCTTATTCCAGCCATTCCAATCTTCAGAGGGTAAAGGCAGGGGGAAAGCCGCTCTCACCTTTATTCTCCTTCCAGGACCAAAAGAGAATGGAGAAGATCTCCAAGAGGGTGAATGCCATTGAGGAGGTGAACAACAACGTGAAGCTGTTGACCGAGATGGTGACAAACTATAGTAAGGGGGAGACCACAGAAACCAATGAGGACCTCATGAAGGTGAGAAGGCGGGTCTGGGTACAGACCTTGATTTGGTCATTCATGTAGCATTCTTGTTTACCATAAGCAGCAAATGTCATCTGCCTGTTTCCATGAAAAGGCTGAAATGGTCCACTTAATGTGCACTCAGAGGGGAATATTATTTGAAAGGTAGCATTTATGAACTTTAATTTAACAAAGCTGTTCACTGATTTTGGATCTGGAAAGTCTCTCCTCAGAATCCACCTAATGTTTAGTTGCCTAACTGAAGGCTCCCTTACCCCTTTGAGACTACAGAGCTGCTAAGCTGAAGGAGCCAGGAACATATCTGCCTGCTAAGCACTGTGATATGGAGAGATGTGTCACTTATTGCCAGATAACAGTCACACAGTGGTCTGTGACCATGATAACATGTTATCTCTTAGTGTCTTTACTCAGCAACTGTACCACTGTTTACGTGTGCAACTTGCACCGCAAATTGTCTCTGGAAGTACAGCTTCAGTTACTGCTTCCTTTGAGGTACTGATATTTGAAATCCCACTTCAGTTCAGCACAGATTTTGGAAGGGACTGTAATTCAGAGCTAAATTGCTTTGCGCACAGAAGGTCCCAGGTTCAGTCACTGACGTTTCTCGTCTAAAGGGCCCTGGGTAACAGGATATGCACCACAGACCTTGAGGAGGAGTTGCCAGTTGGAGTTAGATTGGCCATACTAAGTGAGATGGACCAGTGACCTGGCTCCGTATTGTTGGAAGTGAAGGACTTTGCACTCTCTCTTATTTTCAGACTTCAGAGGGGGTCTATGAGAGAGTCAGAGAGATAGATAGGCTAGGACACTGGTCATCCTTCCCTTCTGCTGCTCTGATGCTATCCCTTTGATGTGTAGATTGCTGCTCTCAGGAAATCTATCTTCCTTCCTTATAGCCTGACACCTTCATGCTGTGCCACTCTTCTCCATATTGGCACCATGAGGGACTATGAGGAGCATATAGCAAAACACATAAAAACCAACAATAAAAACTTTCCTCAATTACAGTGCATCCTCATTTGGAACACTGTGTACAGTTCTGGTCACCACACCTCAAAAAGGATATTATAGCATTGGGAAAAGTACAGAAAAGGGAAACTAGAATGATAAAAAGGTTGGAACACTTTCCCTATGAAGAAAGGTTAAAGCACTTGGGGCTCTTTAGCTTGGAGACACGATGGCTGAGGGGTGATATGATCAAGATTTATAAGATAATGCATGGGATAGAGCAAGTAGAGAAAGAAGTCCTTTTCTCCCTTTCTCACAATACAAGAACTCGTGGGCACTCAATGAAATTGCTGAGCGGTTGGGTTAGAACAGATAAAAGGAAGTATTTTGTCCTCAGGCCGCTGCAGTGGGACTGGCGCGCCCCGCGCCGGACCCTCGGCATACCCTGGAAGATGTAACTCCCTGGGGAGGGGGTTCAGGGAGCAACGAGGGTCGCAGCCACCGCCATCTGGGACAGGTCACAGGCGGACAACCAGGAGCCCTTAGAAGGCCCACCCCACTCCCTCCACAGAGAAAAACGGCGGAGAAAAGGGCGGAGACGACCTCCTCAGCCGCCGATGCACGGGGGACGCGCACGGTCCCAAGTGCGAGGCGACTGGAGAAGTCCAGTCTTACCTAAGGGAGAACGGTTGGAGACGCTGTGGCAGACAGCATCGGGCTCCTTCGGCTCACCGGAAGGGGCCACTCCCCTATACTCCCCGACTCAGGGCGAGATCCAGGGGCAATCACAAGAGGGCGGGACTAGGAGAGAAACACACCATAGGGGTGATAGATGAGGTGACGGGCAGGTGGAGGAAGCAGTAAGAGGACTGGGAAGGGGAAAGGGGGTGTTACCAAGGGACGCGAGGAGGATAAAAGGAGGGAAGCAAGGAGAGTCGAGGGGGAATATCGGAGGTGACTGGCTAGGCAAACTAGAGAGACGGAGACGCGGCTGTCGACCCTGAAGAAGGTGACTCGGGGAGTGATGAAACTCCCCGACCCTTCCATGTCTGAGGCACTGGTTTCCCTCCGAAGCCCGAAGCCAACACGGCGACTGTTCCTCCAAGGCCAGGGGACACCCCAGGGCACGACATATTTTTTTCACCCAAAGAATGATTAACACATGGAATTCATTGCCACAGGAGGTGGCGGCTACAAGCATGGACAGCTTCAAGAGGGAATTAGGTAAACATATGGAGCAGATGTCCATCAGTGGCTATTAGCCACAAGGTATAGACAGGAACTCTGGGGCAAGTGATGCTCTGTATTCTTGGTACTTGAAGTGGGGGGAGCTTCTAGTGTCCTGGCCCCACTGCTGGACCTCCTGATGGCACCTGGTATTTTTGGCCACTGTGTGACAGAGTGTTGGACTGGATGGGCCATTGGCCTGATCCAACATTTGGCTTTTCTTATGTTCTTATGAGGGCAGGACATGCTTCCTGCGTCTCTATCCATCCTAGCTACTTAGACTAGATTAGAATCCTATCTCTACTCTATCCTGTCTAGAATGGAGTCCCTTACAATAAAGGACTCATATTAGTTATGCAGAGATAAAGAGGCTGTGTGTAACTTTGTTTCTTGTCAGCACACACAAACAAGATAGACTCTGCTGCATTATGTGCCTTGAGCACTCTGCTAACCAAATAATCCTTCATGGATAAGGTGTTTATATGTTCTGTATGTTCTGTTTATACTTGCATTGAGTACCATTATTGTTCATCTTGTTTCCCCCCTTTTCTTTCTTTTTAATTATCACTTTCATTTGGTTTACATCATAAATTCCATTAGTATCAAATAGACACCCCGCAATACTGTATGCAGCTAATAGTTGACATTATATTTTTGTGACTTGCTGTAATGTCCAGGGTAAGCACTGTAATACTGAATCTCTCCAACAGGAGCTGTACCAGCGTTGTGAGCGCATGAGACCCATGCTTTTCCGGCTTGCCAGTGACACGGAGGACAATGATGAGGCTCTAGGTAAGTGGAACCAGACAGTTTAGTCTGTGGCTCTTCCCCAGTGTTGTGTGCATCCCCATGTTTTAGGATGCTTGTAGATACAACCTAGAGGAACTGCTGGCTCCTTCATGTTCCTTTACGGCACACTGTAACTGTGATTGTCGGGATTAAGGTAGGAATGGTCTTGCCTGAAGACATGGGATTTGATCTCACATGGCTATCAGTTTCCTCCCAGTTCTGACACACTTCCCTTTTCTCCCCAAATCCTATTTGCAGCATACTCACCTTGAACAGGTGACTCTCCTGGATAGAAGTGGAGGGAAGACTACCTCCAGGGGTTTCTGTGCAGCGCTTTCATGCCTATATCCCACATTGCCATGTAGTCTTTTTACCCACATTAGTAGTCCTTAAAAACCCTCACACACAACAACACCTCAAACTGAACAACAGAGTAGTGCAACAGTTTCGGCTAAGCAATTGTAAGCTGATCACACTTTCTCTTAATTCTTTAGCATGCACGATATGCTTTAGCGTAAATGGCTGAGGCTCAGAATTCACACATGTCTCTTATTGTGGGGACTTTGGGTGCCCCTGAACCCTCACTCTTGTAATGCTGTCGTCCTCTTGTTGCAGCGGAAATTTTGCAAGCCAACGACAACCTCACGCAGGTGATCAACCTATACAAGCAGGTTGTGAAAGGAGAGGAGATAAATGGCGAGGCTGCGGGCGGTTCCCTCCGAGGTGAGGCTGCCGGGGGACAGAGGCTGAGCATCACGCAGAAGATCAAGGGATTGATCAGTTAGAGCAGTAATGCAGGACTTTGGCACAAGCCACTGACGAGCATACTGGAATGATTGCTTGGTGGCTGGGTTTCCTTCCTTCTCTGTTCCTCTTGGCGACAGGCTGTGTTTCTTCTCACAGGCAGCACGTCAGCACTTCTGGACCTCTCAGGTTTGGAGATGCCCTCCTCTGCCCCCTCCTACCCAGCCGTACCAACTTTCTCAGGTGGCTCCATAGCTCCTGTGCCAGAGCAGTCCAGCTCTGCATCTTTGCTGGATGATGAACTCATGTCCTTAGGTGAGTCCAGGGAAATGTTCAGTCTTGTTTTGATGTTAGCACAGAATGGAAAGTGGTTGATGTGAAAGCGATGTGTGAAATGGGTGCAGGGTGAGTAGAAAGACCACCGTTGTCATGATTCTTGATGAGCATTTGGGGCAGCTTCTGGTATAATGCTTTGTGCAGAGTCCGGGAACGTGCAGTTTGTGACTTGCAGGGTAGACTTAGGCATAGCTGTACCCTTCTAAGCCCCCTGACTGTAGAAGGGAGCAACGCTGCTGAGGATTGTACTGTTGGTAAGAGCCGTACGAGTCCTGCACGGCTCTTAATCCTTGTGGGAATTCCAGATGCAGCAATCCTATTTGTGAGTCAGATTTGTATGTTACTAGGTTTTCTTTTGCTTGTGTGTGTGTGCAAAGAATTTGTATCTTAAATTTAATTAATATCAAAAGAAGGCATTACTGTAAAAAGTATATTTGCAGCCCCTACATCTGTCTGCTTACAAAAAAAGTAGCTGTTTGAAGGAAAAGTAGCTGTTTGCAAGCCTCTGTAGAGTCTGTTCCTCAGTGGCAGTACACCAGTGGATTTTAACTCTGTCTCGGTGCTTCTCAGCTCCAAGTCTGTGAACCACTGTTCCCTCTAAGCTGTGTGCGTGAGCAGCCCCTCATTAACCCAGGAAGCTCTGCTCTGCAGCAGTCTGGAGCCACACAGGGCCTTGCACTGCCCATTGCCTATTTTAAGATTACAAGCAGTTATATTCTGCTCAGGATGTGAACTGCTCCGCTCAGTAGGGGGGAACATTGTAAACTGTGTTCTAAGTGGGGGCTTGTTTCCCTCATGTGCTAAGATACTGAGTAGAAATCTATTTTAGCGAATGTTTCCTGTTAAAGAACTGAGACAGGTTGCGGGTGTGCACCGAGCAGAAAAGCTAAATTAGCTTTGGACTGGAGACCTAGATCACACACTGCAGATAAGCATGTGCTAGCCAGCCTTTTGGAATCTGTCAGAATGCTTAAAGGACGTCATTTTCCTCTGGGTATCTTGTGAATAAACGTACCAGAAGTATGCACCTGTCCAAGATGTAGGTTCTTTTGCCTACTGTCACTTAGCTCAAGAAGACCTCCGTTCAGGGTTTGTGTTAAGTCCTGAGACTCGCTGGGTGACCTTGGGCCAGTCGTTCTCTATCTCACAGGATTGTTGTGAAGATAAAGGGGCAAGGGTAGCCGTATGCTGTGCTCTTTAAACAACAAAATAAAAAAAATTCACACCCAAGGACCCATTGAACAAAGCCCAGGGATTTAACTTTGCCCAAACATCAACCAGATAGATCCCAAATGCCATTCTCATTAGAACTAGAACAAAGAGGAGGTTGGGGGGCTTCCACTCTTGCAGAATTGTGAGTGGCAGTTCACCATTTAGGGGCTGCCTTGGGCAGAGGATGTTCAGAGTCCTCATGCCTGGCATCGTGGGACTTCCATTCTCATGTCTGCTCTTTCCATTCCCCTCTCTAGGGCTTAACGACCCAGCACCACCCTCAGCCCAGGGTCCAGATAATGGTGGTTGGAACAGTTTCCAGGTAAGCAACCTGATTATGGGGAAACTGTGAGGATGCTCTTGGTTGAAAAAGACCAGACTAAAAGATTTGGGCCAAAGGGAAAGTGCTGAGGCTTTGCAACACTTGTGTTATACAAGGATGATGGTAAGAACTGAGACCTGAGCCCAGCTGGATTGATTTTCTGCTCTGATTAATTTGTTCTGCAAAACTCGCATCTGATGACCAATGCTCCCTCTAAGCTGTGGAGTCTTGTGAGCATAAATTCTACTTTGTGAGCTACTGGCATTAAAGTTGTGAGCAAGTGATTTGGCTACTGCATAAATTAGTTTGCTCTGGAGCCATCCTTCCTGAACGAAGACAAAAATGTGTGAGCCGGAGGCTAAAAAACTGTGAGCTAGCTCACACTAACTCAGCTTAGAGGTAACACTGCTGATGACTCTGTATGTGTATTGCTCTATGCATATGGTTTGGCTGGCTGCATTTCCCCATCACACATACCTGGAACAAACACACACACGTGCATATACATCTACGATCTTTTACTTTATTGGTCTTGCATCTTCGTTGCATGCCGTTTCCACATATACGTGACCTGTATGTCAGAAATCCCGAAAGTGTGAGGTTGTCCTCAACATCTTCTTAAACTCCAGGTTGGTGGATCTTCTCTTGGGGAAAAGGGGGAGGAGTGGAGCCTCAGTCAGACCAGAGCCAGAGAAGAAGCTTCGTTGCAGGTAAAACAAACCCTTTTTCCTCCATGATCTCTGTGAGAGGAGAGGGAACTCCTGCTTCCTTGGAGTACAAAACTGAAGGACCTGGGCAACTGGAGGCTCCCCTTTTCCCTAAAAGCATCATCCCAGACAAGCTGTGTCTTCACCAGATGTGAAACTAACCATCCAAAGCAGAGTTACCCCCTTCCGAGTCCATTTAAGTCAGTGGGCACAGAAGGGTGGAACTAGTTAGTACGGTACTGAAAGCCTTACAGGTCAGCGTGGATTTGCCACCTTGGAAAAGAGAGGGAAGCTAGAGATGTGGAAGCCCAAGAGGGAAGGAAACAAAAACAGAAAAATAGGAGGTGGGGAAAGAGACAGGGTTTTACTCCCTCACAATATGCAGCATAAACACTTTTATGTAAGACAGTCTACAGCGTTAGAAAGCAACTCCTGTGTATACTGACATACGCAACATACTCTCAAGCATATATTTATTGTTTAAATATGAATAATTTTGGCAACAATTCATATGCTATAATGTTTAGAGTCCAGGGGCACCTTTAAGACCAACAAAGGTTTATTCAAGGTAGGAGCTTTCATGTGCAAGCACACTTCCTCAGATACATGTGTCTGAAAAAGTGTGCCTTGCACACGAAAGCTCATACTTTGACTAAACCTTTGTTGGTCTTAAAGGTGCCACTGGACTCAAACTTTGTTCTGCTGCTTCAGACCAACACGGCTCCCCACCTGGATCTATGCTATAATGTTTGATAATAAATTATAAAAGAGTTCAGTGTGTCCAAGTGTTACAACATTTAACTTGGTAATCTAAATATGGTGGTAGTCCTGTTGTAAATATATAGAACTGTTTCTGCCCAAATAGTACTTTTTCATATTGATTTTATTTATTTCATTTATACCCCACTTTTCTCCCCGATGGGGAACAAAAACGGCCTACAACATTCTTCCCTTCGTCGTTTTTATCCTGACAGCAACCCTGCGAGGTCTGAGGCTGAGAGAAGAATAGCTAATAGCCAGTTGCAAACCACTGCTGGGTTGGTTGTCATTCGTTTGCTTTGCTTTGCTTCTGTTCTCACTGCAGTCATCTGACAGCCCTGACCTTGGCCCTCCCTCGCTCCCGGTGGGGAAAGCTGATGCTGGACCAACCGCCACAGCGCCTCCCACCACCACCACCACCAGTGGCCTGGATGACCTGGACTTGTTGGGCAAGACTCTGTTGCAACAGTCCCTTCCACCAGAGTCTCAGCAAGTCAGATGGTAGGAAGCAAGGTGGGGAAGGGCTGGGGAGTGACTTCAGGCGGGAGCTAGCTTCCAGGTGAAGCGCAGGTAAGTCGGCTGCCTCTTGCTGCAACAGCCTCTGTCTCTCGTCTGCCTTGCAGGGAGAAGCAGCCGCCACCTCGGTTAACGTTGCGTGACCTCCAAAACAAGAGTGGCTCCAACCCGTCTGTGACCACCAACAGCACCCCACCCCTGTTCCAGAGCCTCTCCGCAACCCTGCCCCTGCCTTCAGAGCAACCAGCACCCACTGTGGTCTCTCGAGCGCCTCCTGCACCTCCTGCAGCTGGACTTCCCACAGCAGGCCTTCCTGTGTCAAAAGTGCCCCCGGAAATCTCTCTGACAAATGTCACTGTGCCTCTGGAGTCCATCAAACCAAGTGAGTTGGAGGATAGCCCCGGTTTGCGCCACGTGGCTTGGCTCGGTTGCTTAAGACATGCAAAGAGGTTCGCGCTAAAAGGACCGTCCCTCTCTTTGTGGGGTGCGTGGGAATGGAGCAGCAGTGGTGGATTGATGGCCCTAGCTCACAGCAGTGTGCTGGGCTCAGTAGCCTGTTCAGCTCTGTAGGGGACCAGGGGGGAATAGCCCACCACATCCCATCAGGCAGGAATCTGCTGTGGACACATTCTCAATAGTATAAATCATGTTCACTAAGTATAGATACAAAGCCTATATAGAGAAGCTACCTTAGTGGCTGCTGTGACTGTCAGTCTCCCTGCCCTTGGAAACTGGCTTCTGCAATCTTAACGTCTTCTGCACTTGTTGCAAGACATTTTTATTGAGCCTGGTTTTTTGTGGGGAGGGGGTCAAGGTTAGACTACTAAAAGGGAAGGGCTTATTTGTGTGTTGCTATTTGAATTGTAATGGCTTATTTTTTGTTGCTTTGCTCCCTTTTAACCTGCCCTGAGCACTTGAGATAGAATGCCCAGCGTGTTGCTATTTAGCCAGTAAGTGATTTAATCCCTCTCTCTGTTCTGTGCTCATCCTGACATGGCTTCACTCCAGGCAATATCCTCCCGGTGACTGTATACGATCAACATGGTTTCCGTGTCCTGTTCCACTTCGCCAAGGACTCTCTGCCAGACCGGCCTGATGTGCTGGTGGTGGTCATCTCCATGCTCAGCACAGCCCCCTTGCCCATTAAGAACATCATCTTTCAGTCTGCTGTCCCAAAGGTGATGTCTTCATGGTGGGAAAATATCACAACCTTCTCTCGCCTGCTTTTCCCCTATACTGGCCCTCTGTATCTCAGGGAATTGGCTCCCATCAGCCTGGTAAGATCCTTTCTAGCAAACATCACTGGTCTGTTGCTAAAGCTGCTTTGAGGAGGAAGATGGCAGGTCAGCTTCCCTTGCTAGGGATGGACTGTCGGCATCCCCTTGAGCTGCCCACCAGCCCTACAGCTTCTACGCCTGCGTACTTCCTATGATGTCTGACGACTTGGGCCAGAGAGGGGTGACGTTTTAGGAGAGGCCCTTAGCTTGGCATTGAAGAATGTGATTTGCTTGCAGAAGGGCCCAGGTGCAATCCCCAGGATCTCCACTGGAAGGATATTCGAAAGAGGGCAAGGGAAATCCTCTCTGTGACCTTGGAGATCCACTGGAGTGGACAGTATTTGTTTGCTACATTTACAACATCCCACTTTTCTTCCATCAGGGAACCCAAGGCGGCATACATCAGGTTCTCAGGAGGCCTCCTGTCCAGACACAGATCAGGTCCAGACTAGCTTAGCTTCAACGAGGTTGCTGTTTTGGTACCGCGATTATAGTGTTGGACTAGGACTCAGAAGACATGGATTCAAATCCCCACTTAGTCATGAAATTGATTGGTTAACTTAGGCCAGTTACTCAGTCTGACCTACCTCACTAAGTTGTTTTGGGCAGAAATGTGACAGATAGAAGCTGTGTGCCTTCCTGCCATTCCCTGGAAATGACTGGTCTGACTCAAAATAAGTCAGTTTCATAAATGGACCCCTGAGTCAATGGCTATGGATCCTTAAGCAGATGCATTAATCAAGGGAAGCCATTGCATAATTTCACATTTCTTCTGATCTGTTCTTTGAAGGAGAGGAATGTCGCAGCTTGTAGAGGTTGTATGAGAGAGAGAGAGAATTGGGACAGTCATGAACCAAAATATCCCACAGACTGATTGACATGAAATCCAGGATGAACTGTTTCAGAGCAGTACTTAGGTAGTTGGAGTTGTTCCAGAAGCTGGTTTGATGTTGTCGGTTTATTTGTTTGTTTAAAACATTGATCTCGGGGATTTTCTCAGCTATTACTCTCAAGGGAGCTACCAATGATCAAATATACATATCAGAAAACTAACAATTAGAAGAAGAAGCAGAGATGAGATTGGATTTATACCCCCGCCCTTCACTACCCAAAGGTGTCTCAGAGCGGCTTACAAACTCCTTTCCCTTCCCCTCCCCACAACAGACACCCTGAGAGGTAGGTGGGGCTGAGAGAGCTCTGACAGAAACTGCTCTTTTTCAAGAACAGCTGTGCCAGAACTACGGCTTGCCCAAGGTCATACAGCCAGGTGCAAGTGGAGGAGTGGGGAATCAAACCCAGTACTCCCAGATTAGAGTCCACGCACTTAACCACTACACCAAAAAATTAGACCAATTCTTAAACCAGCGACCAACATATGTAAAACCAAAAAAGCTTTTAAGGTTTTTGAGCAGCAGTGGCAGGTGAAAGGAAAGGGGGGGGGGGAGTGTATGTGTGGGAAAGGCACCTAGAAGGCTCTTCAGCCGAATGGTCTCGCTGGCCTGATGGCCCACTGGGTGGGTACATAAGAGTTTCTCATCTGTGCTGTTAACTGATACAGTCACCCCTCGTTTTTGCAGGTGATGAAGGTGAAACTGCAGCCTCCCTCTGGAACGGAGCTCCCAGCTTTCAACCCCATTGTGCCCCCCACGGCCATCACCCAAGTCCTCCTGCTTGCAAACCCACAGAAGGTAACAGCGCATTCGAAAGAGCCGGGTGGCAGCCCCTCCCCGGCCACTGCCTTTTTGCCAGAGCCCCCCAAAGCCCTCTTTCACCCTCCCCCCTCTGTCTGCAGCCTTCTTTCCAATGGGTGGTGGTCACGGCCCTACACTCCTCCCTGCCCTCCTAACTGTTGTCCATCTTTCCTCCTGTCCAGGAGAAAGTGAGGCTACGATACAAGCTGACCTTCACCATGGCAGATCAGACCTACAACGAAATGGGAGATGTGGACCAGTTCCCCCCTCCAGAGTCATGGGGAAATCTCTAAGGCTGCGGCTGGGGTGCTGCGTCTGACTTCTAAGGATTCTGCCCCCCGAGGACAAGGGCCTTCCCAGGGCTGGCTGGCTGGCGCTCAGACGCTGCTCTCAGACTAGAATGCTGGCCATCAGCCGTCTGCTGTGTGTGGAGGACGGCAGGTGGATGAGAAGGGAGGAGGCGCCTGTTTGGGGGGGGGGGTTGATGAAGCTGCTGGGATGACTTGAGTGAGTTGCTCTCTGTTCTTCTACCTTGGTTTCTGAGTCTTCCCTCCCCCCTCATCTTGCTTTCCCAGGTGTGCTTTTCCTTTCATGGAAAGGTGCTGATGATTACCTGAGGCTGACTCTGAGGAACCTGGCCCCAGGGATAGACTCTTTGGACCTCTTTCCTTTCTTGCTGAGGTTATGTCGGACCTTTACTCTTCAGTTCTTTAACACTCCACGAGCAGCGCTGGTCTCTCTGGGTTGGTGCAGGGAGTGATGCCTCTTGTGGTGTGTCTCTGCCCCCAGGACACCAAGTTGGATTGGTGGGCTTGGGTGGGGCAAAAGGTCTTGCTGTTTTATTGCAGGGGCTCCCACTGGTTCAGGGCAACAGGGCCTTGGGGCAGGTGGGTCTTTCTCGCTCACAAGGCACTTATTCCTCCAACAAAATGGGCATGGGCCGATTTCCCCCAGTGTGCATGTTAAGCCACTAGTGAGCGGAATCTGAGTAAGGTGGCAGGGAGGAAGAAAGCCTCGTGTGTCTAGTCTAACATGCCTTATACCAGAAGGACTAGTGTTATGGCCTTACAGTGCAGTTATAAGGCAGAGATTGTACTTTTGTGGCTGTTGCAGCCTGCTGGGGTGACAGAGTGTGGTTGTTGCACTCCTTGATAGCTTCCTTGACCAGGGTAGGGAATGGACATCCCAGGTAACTGTCGGGAAAGAAATCGGGGGGGGGGGGGGGGGTTGATGCTGGCTGTGGCATGTTGCAGACCTGCACCTCTCCATATTACGAATCCCAGCAGTTAAGATTTGTGTGGCACAGAAGCAGGACCTGCCTAGAGGGGTGTGTGGAAGAGGAAAGGTTGGCACAACAAGCTTTGTTTCCCCATGCATCCATGCCAGCTGTAGCCACCCCTCTTCTCCCTCTCACAAGCTGGCGTGCTCAAAGGCTGCAAGCAAAGAAGGATGCAGCCTACATGACTAACTTTATCCTTGTGTCATGAGCAAGCTGCTGATGGAAATGCCTGGGAGTGAAGGCTCGGTTGGCTGAGTTGCTCCGCCAAGGGGAGGAGGGGAGTTGGGGTTCGTGGACAGGAGCGGCACGCAGGTCTCGAGGGCTGGGCTGGCATTTTTACCCACGTGGGGCTGTGCACCCGTCTTTGAACAGTGACTGGCTGCTTTTGGTGGGAAGGCCTTTCTGAAGTGGGGTTTCTGCTGTGACTGGATGCTTTTTCTTTCTGGTCCCTCTTTCAGGGCTATTCCCTCCCCCCCGTTTCTCTCTCTAGATTCAGTTCGGTTCTTGAACAGACATCTGCATATTTTTGGTGCAAATTCTGCACATGGAAAAGGACTTTAAAATAGACTGTGTGTGAAATCTGCTGTACTGATGGGAAATAAAGAGATTTCTTCCCGAAAGTGTGTCTTACGATCAAGAACCGGTTTACAAGGGCATGAGAGTCCTGGGTCGAATCTTAACCTAGCACATCAAATAAGCCTTACTTTTTCCTCTGCTGGGAACCTGAAGATGTATCATCTGGTTTTCAGCGTAAAGGAGCTGTGTTCAGATGAGGACCAGCTCAGCAACCTCCATCTCATATGAAGTTAGGGCTGCGTATTCTTCATGCACCGAAAAGAACAAAACAAACATGAGAATTCTGACTTGGCAGGAGCTGAGTTGTGTGATCCACAGCAGTGACACGTTCCAGTCATCCCGGCTTCTGTTCCTCTATCTCAATTCCTGTTTCAGTGCCAGGAACTTTCAGGGTGATTTTAAGATGTGACTTTGCCCACCCACACTGGGCCCTCTCCCTCTGCTTGTTGTGGGGTAGTGATGGGTGGGGACTGATCTCTGCAAGGGCTCGAGGAAAGTACTCATAGGGCGATGGGAGGGCATGGAGTTGTTGCAGACGCTAACCGACCCCGGGAACTGTCACCTCTCCCTGCTGCTTTCCTGCAGCGCTGGTGTGAGCTCAAACCGTGAACTTTCAGTTTGTGGCCAGGTCTGCTGTTCGTCGTCCCCACTTCCTCTTCTTCCCCAGACCCGCTCCTTTTTTTGCAGGAGCCTCTGCAGCAGTCCTGGCAGTCATGTGATCACAGAGCTGGATTCAGCCAGGGCCAAGGGGGGGAGAGAAACGGAGTAGCTTGGCATGCAGCAGAGCAGCAGCTGCAGGGCAGGTGGCTGCCCAGTCTGAGGACCGGGTCATGCTCCCCTCAGGAACTCCGGATCTGTCTTGGGTAAGGAGGAGGCGCCCCCCCCCCCTTCTCCTAACAGTCCAGAGTTTGCTGTAATTGTGATAAACCTCCTACATGGGATCGGGTTACTCATTCCATTCCTTGCGACTTCTCTTGTGATCATACGGTAGAACTATAGTCCGAACTGGAATCCACTGCAATACAGTAGCCTTCCCCGTATCTTGATAGACAAGGTTTGGCTCACAAAAAAGGAACTGGATATTGCCTCCCATGGTGTGGCTTCTTCGTACCATAATGTGCAACTATTTGCATGATGGGAAATAGCGTGATTGGCCACCTTGTGAAAATGACACTCCTACGGCACAACTTAGAAGTTCTTTCCAGCCTTCCTAGGTGGTAGGAGGAGGAGCTGTATGATTTGTCGATTACTATTGCAGGTTCTAAAATGGCAGGCACTGTCACCCAGGGTAGTGCAGGCTCCATGAACATGTGTGAAAGATGTGCGGGAGGACAAACAATTGAATAAATCTGTTCGTTTCAGTGAGGCTTGTGGGTAAATAAAATTTGTTCGTCTCCAGACAGTGCAAAAGATCCTTGCAAACACCCACATCCCACCAAGCCTTTGAGGTCCTGTACGAGGAACATGCTGGGAATGAGGGACGGCTCCATAATCAGGCCAGGCAGTGGCCTCAGGTTGTGGATTCCCCCCCCCCCCAAGTCATCCACCACATCTGCCCCCAAATCAGATAATTGTCCTTTCCTCCTTGCTGTTCCAGGGATCTAAACACAGTATGGCTTGCATTGCACATGCATACTTTGACATGCCGCAATGGGAATCAGGAAGGAATCAGTGGAAATGGCGGGGGGGGGGGGGGGGGGGGGGTTGGTAGCTACTTCAATCAGGAGCCAAAGTCGGTCTAAACAACAGTCCTTTCCCCTTAGAGTCGACATCATATAGTCTCTGTAATGTACAAATCAAAGCTGAGGCTTTATGTTATGTGTTTGTAACCAGTCTTTAAAACCTGAAGTCCCAGCTGCTGTGTAGGTGTTTCAGCAGCCCTCTGAGTATTGTGCAAGATTTTTTAAAACAACGATTACGATTAAAAAAAAATACTGAAGAAGGGTTCCAGAAGGTATCTTCTTAATTGCACATTCCAAAGAAATACATGGGTTAGTCTCCTGGAGCCAAAATAACAAAGAAGCACTTTAAAGAATTTATTGTGGCATGAGCTTTCTGGCCACAATAAATGTGTTAGACTTTGGTACAACAAGACTTTGCTCTTTTTCCCTTTGTAAAAATAGAGCACTAGGACTCAGAAGCAGCTTTTGCTCAGCCTGTCAGTGGCTGAGAGGAGCCCTTGCCTGCTACTCCTTCCTTAGTTTCCCACAAAGCCCCCCCTCCATTGCTCCCACCAACTTATGTCCTCACTGTGCCAAAACTAGTAAAGGTAAAGGTTTTCCTTGCTCAAAAGCCAGTCAAGTACGACTCTAGGGATGCGGTGCTCAACTCTGTTTCCAAGCCGAAGAGCCAGCGCTGTCCAAAGACATTTCCATGGTCATGTGGTTGGCATGACTAGACGTCAAGGCACACGGAACACCGTCAAATATTTAAAATTGGCTCAGAAGGTAAACACAATACCTGCAGTTAGAATTAACACACATTAAGAAGCTTGGATAAAGTCTTGTTCCCTGGCTGTATGATCTGGTTTTCGGAATCTGGGATACAAAATTCCCTTAACCAACCTCACATAGGAGTTAGTGAGACTCCCGAGTAAACATGGATCAGATTGAGTTCCACACTGATAAATGAGCTGACAGGCAAGTGGCTGAGAAGGTCTAAGATTTCTGGGCAGTGCTGGCCAACAAAGATCACTACTGAAGGCAGAATTTGGACAAGACAGGAAGCTGGACTGGAAATAGGAGGAGCCCGGGTTCTATTCCCCATCTTCTCGCAGTCTGAGGACTGAAATAGATCTAAACTACCCTTTCTATCAAATGAAGGTTAGAGTGTCTTTGTGACTCATGCACACTCTGAGCATTGCATCTGATGAATGCCCAATGCCAGATAAGGTGGGATTTTTTTTTAATTACATGGACCTCTTTAGCAGGCTTATTAGAAAACTGAACTCTTCTCTGCCGGGGCAGCTGTTTAGTCACAGTTTTTGAATAAAACCTTGACAACTGCAATCAGCCATGCTGTCTTTCTGATTAGCCTCATTCTGCATATTGAGTGGTGCTGTCGATCAAAGGATCTTCCCATATGGCTTGAATCCACTCCTGCTTCAGTTTGTAATGCAAATGTAAATCTTGCGTTGACCAATATGCAGATTTGCATGACAAATGCATGCCCTGTGCTTTCTATGAGTCTTATCTGAGGTAAATAGTCCAGAGGTCACTCATGATTAGTTAGTGCTTTCTATTTTGTAAAGGTACCAGGAATATCCTGAACGCTTATAAAGCATTGCTAAAACTGCCATTTAAAAAACTTTTCTTCTTTGACATCAATACCCTAGTATGTTAGACCAGTTATCAGCTGAAATCTTTGGCAGTATTATGAGGTATGGGAATGCAAGATCTCACTTCTCTCCATTTAGCTAGGCAGAGGCAGGTCGTTCCTTGTGATTTAGCTCATATACCCTACTCTGACTGCTTCCTTACCAGGTTTTGCATTCGTTTGATCCTTCATGGCCTCTTAATCCCTGTGGTTTTGCTGCACTGTGTGAGTAGCAAATGGCTGCAAACTGGAGGATGGCTTTACAGTAGATGGGGGGGGGGGGGCTGGAAGTGGGGCAGCCCAGCAGAGGTTGTTCCCCAGGGATGCACTTCTGACATCTTAGAAAAGCCACTGCATATTCTGGAAGAATAATGCTCTGGAAGAATAATGCTGAGTGTTGATTCCTGCCTTGTATGTACTTCACTCCATACTCTTCATTCGGTGGATTACGCAGAGACTCACTGCTGAGCAAGTGAACGGCCTCTGCAGAAAAAGCACTCTTTGGGCTTGGTGCAGAATACAGGACATGAGCCAGATTGAGCTTTCCTATAATTATTATTCAAAAAAACACTTTTATATCCCACCTTTCCTTGTAGTTCAAGGAAGTTTACAATAATTTTTTTTAAATCAGTTAAAACCAAAAATAAAATAGCAACCCCCAAGTCCCTCTGCAATGTCTGTTGCACTCATGCACATGGTCCTTGGTCAGCAGTGGTCAGCCGCGCCTGCTACTATCATTCAGTCACAAGAATGTAAGAATTGCCTTGCTGGATCAGACAAAGGTCTGTTTTCAGCAGCACTGAGCCAGGTGTCCCGGCCAGATTTCTTCCCCACACCGACCTGCCCACATGCGGCCTCCTTGCCTGGGGATTCCATTTAGTTATCTAACAAATGGGGGAGGGGCTGAGAGGAAGGAATCACAAGATGAAGAAATAGATCATGATGGGTAGCCATGTTAGCCTGTCTGTAGCAGGAGCAAAGAGCAAGAGACCAGTAGCAACTTAAAACTAGCAAAATTAGTGCCCTTTTGCCAGTCACTGTTCACTTCTTCAGGGACTCACAAAAGCTCATAGGTTTTCCTTGCTTGAAAGCCAGTCGAATCTGACTCTAGAGTTGTGGTGCTCATCTCCGTTTCCAAGCCGAACAGCCAGCGCTGTCTGAAGACATTTCTCTGGTCATGTGGCCGGCATGACTAGACGCAGAGGTGCACGGAACGCTGTTACCTTCCCATTGAAGTGGTACCTATTTATCTACTTGCAGTTTCTTGCTTTCGAACTGCTAGGTTGGCAGGAGACAAACGCTCATACCCTGCCGCAAAAGATGAAGATATGACAGGGTGGTGAGCAGGCCAGTCCCCCTCCCTGCTTCGTTTTGCTTTTTGTCTGTCTTTTACTGGTGGTCAACGTTCTGTGACTTTGTAAATTAAAAAATTAAGAAACTCCAGTGTTACAAGGGCCCGATGAGGACTAAACATCACTGTCCTCTTGATTTGCAAAGTAATTTTTTTCCTGCATAGCTGCGAAGAGCCCCAAGTATGCACAAATTCCATCTTGTTTGTGGGCAGTCCCATTTCTCTACCTTCTTCATAAGCACCTAGCCATGTACTTTTGCCACTAGAGGGAGTAAGCTGGAGATATTGGAAGGGAGTAGGACAAACGTTTTGGAAATTGCTCCCCACACACACACACAAGTACCACATTGCTTTGTTCGGTAGCTCATCTGTGCCTTAACTTTATTAGTATAGCCCTATAGCTCAACTACTCTGATAACTGAGGCATTGGGGGGGGGGAGTTAACCAAACTCTGAACTTGAACCATACCAACCAGAACAGGAGATTTGTTTCTAACTTCCCTCTGTGCTGTACAGGAGGGTTGAGGAATAGGACTCAACACACATATCCCCCAGTCCCAGCTTTACTTCTCCCACATTCTAGGGCATTATGGGTTGAATCCAATCAGCTTTCTGATGATGGGGGGAAAGGAGGGGTCCCTCGAACCACCAAAAAGGCTGTGCTGAGGATCATAGGACTAGCATGTATAAAATCCATAAGGGAAAAGGAGCTGTAGTGAGGAGGAGAACTGGATGAGACTGAAGGGGGGGGGGGGGGGGAAACCTGGCTGAATCCAACCCTGTACATTGGTAGGGGGTCTTGTGCTTTCTTAAAAAGTTCTTTGTTAGTTAATTACTCCTGGCTGGCTCTGGTTTCCAACAGGAGGTGTGGCTTCAAATCCCACTTATACCAGCCATCTCTGCCTGTTGGAGATGCGGGTGCAGAGTCTGGGACCTCCATGGTAAACACATTCACTACTGTCATTGAGCTATGGCTTTTCCTCTAGTCCTTGCTAGGTCTAATGATGACCCCTCATCCTGCCTAAGGGTCCCTAGTGACTTCGTGGCTGAGGGAAAATTCAGTCTGGGTATTTCCTTTTGTTGTAACTGTTGCTCTTTTTTGTAGAAGAAATTTTGCAAAGGTGGTAAGTACATTTGTGTTTGCTCAACTGAGGTAACAGTGGTCAGCCTTTTCTGGGTTCTGAGTCAGCATTTCCTTGGGGCAGGATTTTTAACAGAAAATACTCAGCCCTGGAAGCAGGCATTGTGGAGGCAGGGCAGAATGGGGAGCGTGAGGGAAGGCAGGCAATTAGTGCCTTTTATGATTGTGCATTGCGCTCTGTGGGGACAGTAACTGACTTTTAGTAAGAGTTGGCACAAACCACAACTTACTTTCTTTTCTTTTTTGCTGTCTGGGAAACAGATCGAGGGACTCGAAAAACCTGCAGATCTTCCCCAACCAATACAACTGGTTGGTCCAATAAATGAGAAATCCATTCGACTGCTGCTGCAGGAAAAAAACAAAACAAAAAAAACAAACCACACTAGTTCTCTGCTGCTTATCAGTCAACCGTCTTCCTCCTCGCCTAAACCTCAAGCTCCGCTGAAGTGTCAACCCCACACTGTCAAATGTAGCTGAGAGAGAGAGAAAAGTAGGAAGTGCTACAGCCTGAGCCGTTGCAGCAAGAGCTTGTTCTGCCTTGTTGCATGTTTGCTGTAATAATATTTCCCCTTTAAGGCTTGGCTGAAGTTATTTATACTTTTTTGGGGTGGTGACAGGAACCGAGAGAAGCGGCGGCAGCAGATCTTACCTGAACAGCAACCGAGAGAGGTTCTGAAGGAGGCAAGAAAGAGGGAGCAGGAGGAGGCTGGAAATTTGGCAAGAAAGGTGAGGTGGGGGGAGAAGCAGTGAAAAGAGAG